TTTTCGTCCATAGAAACTAATGGGAAGCTGCTATTCTGCCTTCTGCCACTAGAGGGGGATATTTTTTCTTTTTTCCTTTTAACCTAAGATGACTTAGCTTTAAAAAAAAGGAAAAAAGAGTTCGTAACTCGAATCTAAGTTCGTAAGTCGAGTCCATCATATATTCCTATGAGAGCGGTTCGTAAGTCGAAACGTTCGTATGTCGAGCCGTTCGTAAGTCAAGACCCCACTGTAGCTTCTTATTAATCAGTACTGTAATGTAATTCAGTCCAATATGTATTAGTGAGTGTAATATTTTATAGCAACAGCAATCATTTTAGATTCTCCTAACCTGGAACCTATTGGATGACAACATATATTTTATTTTCTATACATGTTATTCTCACATCCGTGTGTTAATGACAGGCAAATTTAAGGACAATTCCTTCCAATCCTATAGATTTCTTTCTTTCTTTCTTTCTTTCTTTCTTTCTTTCTTTCTTTTTCTTTCTTTCTTTCTTTCTTTCTTTCTTTCTCTCTTTCTTTCTCTCTTTCTTTCTTTCTTTCTTAAAATATTTTCCCCACCTCTCCTTAAAAAGGACTCAAGAGAGCTTACATGATTAGGATACACTATTAAAGCTAACAACAGAGAATATACAGATAGTAAAAAGGATCGAACAAATTCCATACTAAAAAAAGATAAGCAACACCAAAAACACATTCACAGCAATCCATTAAAAGAAACCCACTCAGGCAGCCAATCGCTCAAGGAAGGTTCGCCTGAAGAGAAAGCTGCCTGCTTGCAGAACGACAGCAAAGATGGGCCCAGCCTAGTTTCCTGTGGGAGGGAGTTCCAGAGTCTGGGAACAGCAATACAGAAGGCCCTCTCCCATGTCCCCACCAAAACCACCTGTGAGGGTGGGGGGCATGCCACTTTTGGAATTAGTTATTGGGGAGAATAACTCTTTGATCATGGGGCAATACCATAACCATTCAACCTACTCAGTCTTGAAAGGTCAAGACTGGGAAAGTTACATTTTTTGGACTACAAAACTCAGAATCCACTGGCCACTGTGTTTTCATGTTTAAAAAAATGTTTAAAAAATAAAAACAAAACAAATATATATACACTTACCGGGCTCACAGGACCAATGAAGACAATGTATTCCTTCCTTTAATGGAGATCCATCCCCCTTGTTTTACTTATTGATTTTTTTCAATTTTAATAAAAGCATAATAAAGTGAAATAAAAAGTTTAAAAAGTTGTGTGACAGATTTGAAACACTTTATAAAAACCAAAAGAAAAAAACACAGAAGGTGTGGATTTCTCTCAACTTGAGAAATGCAAAGGGTGGAGAAAATGGATTTGCAGACACACAAACATACACGTAAAGCCATTTTCTCCACCCTTTGCAATTTCTCAAGCTGAGAGAAATCTGCTTATGTGTGTGTTCCAGCTCCCACAAGCATGGGGGATAACTCTGCATATGCTCCTGGACCTGGAAACACACTCTGCACATGCCCCAGGGTCGGGGGGGGGGGCAGGGCGGAAGGGGGGATAAAAGTGCCTCCTGTTCTCTGGCTTTAGGAAGAAGGAGGGACCGGCCTGACCCCTATTTCCCTGGCTTTGAACCACCACCACTCCAAACCCCAGAACAGCCTCCCCTCCAGCAGGCAAGCAAGTGCACTCACTTCACTCCTGTCCAGGTTTCCATCCATCTCTCTAGCACCTTCCTGCCTTATTCAGCTCCCAGGCAGAAGCAGCCATCCACAAGCCGGGGATTGATTTCCCGGGGCTGCAGCCCTAAACAATCAAGCCACCTTATCTCCTGATCTCTCTGAAAGAACCGGAGGAAGTGCTGTAACCAAGGAAGTAACAGGGAGAAGTTTGGCTGCAGTGGGTAGGGGAGAGGGAGGGGTGGGGTGGAGACAGGGAGAGGTTTAGCTGCAGCGGGTGGGGGAGAGGGAGGGGTGGAGTGGAGATACAAAAGCCAGACATTTTGAAATTTTTTACTTTTGCCTTCCAGACGGAGGACATGATCCTCAAATGTAGGAC